TCAAAGCAGTAGATATTTGCCTCATATTATTTATTATCACATTATCTTCAGTCTGCGATAAATAGCAGTAGAAATAGAGAACATTAGAAATAGATATGTTAAAAATTAAACCTTGGGGCACTAAAGACAATATAACTTTTATTTCTGGCAAATCAGCAAAAGTGGTTAATAAAGATACTGTTCTTAGAGATGGAGCAATAGTGTTCAACAGAAAATGTTTCCATGAACCATCTATCTATCTACACATATCTTCATTTTCCTAATAAAAAATTAGGGAAACTAAAATATACATGCTACATCCATTACCATAATCTGATTGCCAAATCCTAATGATTTGAGACACTCAAACAAAAAAAAGAAATGCATTTCCTATATATTTTACTTTATACCATTATTCTTTCAAAATTCTAGTACAGTTACAGTAATCATTTTATTGTTGTTGTTGTTGTTATTTGCCATCGAGTCGGCCCGACTCACAGCGACCCCTCCTTGGGTTTCCGAGGCAGTATCACTACGGAAGTAGGATTGCCCAACCTTCCTTCCGAGGAGTGGCTGATGGGTTTGAACCGCCAGCCTTCTGGTTAGCAGTCAAGTGCCTTAGGCACTATGCTACCAGAGTAGCTTCCAAAAACTGTACACTATATTTGCAAATGCAAAGCTGATAATAAGATTACAACAACATCTAGAAGATGAAAAGCTTCAAAGTACAAATATTATTTTTCAATAAATAATCAAAAATGTAACAAAGAAATCAATTAAACTCTTTAGAAACGACAATATGATTTCACCAAAATACTATCTAACACTTTGTAAAATGTATGTGGGGAGTTGAAGCAGACCATACCATTATGTTTGCAAAATAAATTCAGATAAAATATTTAAATTCACTATCGTGAAGGACACAGAGGATGTTTTACAAAACAAATCCTCCACCTTTCAGAGAGCCACAAATTACAACTCATGAAATCAGTTTTAAGTGTGGCCTCTTAACTCAATTTTCTGAAGTATAAAATCATAGTACTTAAGCTCAATTCAGAATAAATTTACATGGTAAAATTACAATGCTTGAAGTTGTAAAAGACACTAAACTGAACAATATAGCTCCAATTTTGTAGTTTTTTCCCAAAAAAAAATCACATGTAATGTCAAGACGACAGAAACTAAGCTGTTTTATAAGTAAAATCCTCTATTCACAGACTGAGCACTGGAATTCTTTACTCTGATTCTTCTCCATGTTCCCAAGCTCCATCATAGTAGGTGATATTTATATCAGTAACTTCTCAAGAAAAAGCCTCAGAATTATTTGACTTTAAATATCCATTTTATTATCCTACTGCCTTCTGTTACCACTCTTACCAAATCTGCAGCTTCCTTTTCATTCCTTCAGCCACATCCTTATTCCTGGCCCTAGATTTTCTCCCCCTAAACTACTGTACCCCATTCTCATGAGACAGCTTCTTCAGACTGTCTTTAATTCCACTGCCAAAGCTATCTTCCTCCCTTGACATTCTGTCTATGCCACCTTCCTATTCCATTGGAGCTCTTCAAGGCCTTTGCATTGCTTTTTTATTCTGTTCAAGAACCTCATGTTCACCTACATAATCATTTATAAAGCTGACAATGACTTTCAGCTTCCCTTAAAAATGCCAGCTGCTTCTCGTCTCTGGTGAATGTACTGGGTTCTCCACTCAGGTAAAGCACCAATCCATCTAAATATGGAATTCCTTTTGCATTTAGCCCTCAATGCACAGGTTACTTCTTTACACGATTTTAGTACAATAATCACATACACAGTTTCTTCAATCGTTTATGTATCTGTGTTATCTCATTAGACTGTAGGGATATCAGAAAGGGTCTGCATCTTTCAAAGCACTCTGCAAAATGTAAGATGATTCACTAAATAAAACTATTTGTTGCTGTTGTTATGTGCCATCCAGTCGGACCCCACTCATAGCGACTCCTCCTTGGGTTTCCGAGGCAGTATCACTACGGAAGTAGAAGCCCAACCTTCCTTCCGAGGAGTGGCTGGTGGGTTTGAACTGCCAGCCTTCTGGTTAGCAGTCAAGTGCCTTAGGCACTAAGCTACCAGAGCTCCCAAAATTAAGGAAGCACAAATACACAACAATAATAATAATGATAAAATATCTCCATGGTTTAACTTTTAAACATTTGTGGCCTTTCATTTCTATGGACAGCTGACATACTTCGGTCTCTATTAAACTTCTCTCTTACTATTCTATTAATTTTCAAAGCACAGCATGGCTAGAATTTAAAGTGCAGGTTGAAGGTTGATACAAGGTACACTTTCACATAGCGTGATCAGATCCTTTAAAAAGCAGTCATGTCAACTCTTAAGAATTCAAAGATACAGTTTAATCTCCGCTCAAGGCACCAATTTCTGCACTAAAAGAAGAGAACAGCGCACCTTCCGATTTGGGGAGGGGGGAATTCCCTTCCCTGCGACTGGTTTACACTAGTTTCTCTATCCCAGGGGCTTTCTAAGAGGAAAATTCAAAAGCGCACAGTTCACATCTAGAACGAATACTAGGGAAAGGCAATTCGTTTACTTAAAAGACAGGGGTGTCACGGATATCCCCTTTACATAAAACTCAGCACCTAAATTAAGCTTTGCATTAAGCGTTCACCCGCAGTCTCGGAGATTGGTCTACCTAATAATAAAAGCAAGTCTCATTCAATTTAGTCCCTTCTCGAACACCATCTCAAGTTGTCAGAATTTGACAAGAAAAAAAAAATTTGAAAGAAAGGGGGAGGAGACACTATTGCCGTCTACACAGATTGCCGTCTACATCTCCTTTCCAAAATCACATCACTGAGTGTTGGGTTTCCTTCACTCCGAACTAAACCCTCTGATTCCAAATATAGTTATTTAACCCCCGCCACGCCACTGAATTACACACAAACCTTGCCAACTACAGAACCACAGCAGAAAGCCCTACACATCGGCTTGCTATTCATCTTGGAAGTCAAGCCCTGCAGCAACTGCCTATTGCCGAACTAAGGGATATTACCCAAATACAACGCAACGGAATCAGACATGCAGAGCACACACTGCTACTGCGAACGAGAGAAACGCGACCGGGGGAAAGTGAGCTTCTCACGAGCCTCGGGACCATCTACCGGCGGGGGGAGGGGAGGTTCCCAGAAGGGAGAGGGACAGAGGAGCCCGAAAGGGGGAATCCTTCCCTGTCAAGTAAAATGGACAGGATCCCCGGCCGCAACTGCAACCGGTCCTTACTTGCTAGGAAACGGAGACGCGGGCAGAGGGCCCTTGGCTCGGGAAGGCGGAATGCAGACACTTTACGAGGTCCGAGAGCAAGCTGATTCCCCACCTCCCGGGAGAAGAGAGGAGTGTCCCATGGGTGGCTGAGGGGATGCTCGGCCTGCGAGGGGCAGCCTGAAGCGGAGCAGAGTTCCGCCTGAAGAACACCCGTGTTCAAGTCCAGCCGGTGCCTGGGGCAAGCGAGGCCAGAGCTCCGCGGGGTCGCCGGGTGGGGGGAGGGAGTGGAGACGGGATTCCCCCCTCTCCCGGAAAAGCATTAGAGAAGGATGCACCCAGGCAAGCCGAGAGCGGCGTGCTTCGTACAGCGGAGCCGGGATTCCGGCTCCTTCACCGGCAGCGCGGGGCAGCGCGGAGCCCCGCAGCGCCCGCGGCGCTGGCCCCCGGTCCCCCGGGGCTAAGGACTTCGGCTGCGAAGGCGCTGGGGCCTGACATCCCATAGGGCTGGTCTCAGCTCCCAGGGGGACCCGTGGGAATATCCCAACCTCCAGCAGCTTTTCAGCAGTTGTAAAACGCACCCCCGCGCCCCCTCCTCAGCCTTGTCCTCCTCCTGGAGGCCCACAGGCTGTGCCACTACAGCGAGAAGCCCGAGACAGATCCGGGGATAGCGGCCGCAGCAGGCCTGGATCTACTCCCATGGTTACCTGTGAGGACTCCGACACGGATTTGATGGTCGTGGTTAGTGAGGATCATTCCCTCAGACGCCATGTTTCCCAGCGCAGTCACTGCACTGACAGGAGCCGGGAGAAGCCGGAGCCCGGAGCGCGCGGGCCGGGAGCGCGCTTGCCTCGGAGAGCGCGAGAGCGAGGGCGCCCGGGGAGCGTGTGGCGAGCGGGCAAGGAGGGGGAGGCGGCAGAGCACTTGGCGGCCTGAGCCGGGGAAAGAGGCCGGGCCCGGAATGCGCGAGTCCGCCGGAGGGGGCGGAGCCAGGGAGCGCAACCCCGAGTCGGGTTGGAGGCAGCGACTTGGGGGTGGGGGACGCGGCGGCCGCACGGGGAGAGCGCGCGGAGGCGTCCGAGCGAGGCCCGAGAGACTGAAGCAGCTCTGCGGAGATCGCGAGACCCAGAGTGGCTAGATGGCTGAAGACTGAAGGGAAAGGAGAGCACACACTCTGGGTGTTGCGGGGGCGGTCTCAGGGACTGGGGCGGAGCTACACTTCGAAGCGTGGAACTCGTGGAGAGTGAGGGAGGAGTGAGAGCTGGGTTGCGGAGTTTTGAGAGTGGGAAGGAGTGGGCCCAGCTTGAGAAGAACGGGTGAACGCACCTGGGCGCGGGAGTAGCGCCGGATTGGCTGGGACAACGCGGAGCGGATGCGCGCGAGACACAAACGTAGCCCCAGCAGAGCCCCAGACAGAAGCAATCCCCTACCGAGCTTTCGCTTCATCTTTAGTCAGCCGCCCGAGGCTCTCCAGGGCGAGGGAGCTACTTTCTGGAAGGGGTGTGGGGAATGGCTCAGTTTGCGGAGCCTGTTCACAGCTCTCAGGAGCGGCCGGCCGCCCCCCTGAAGGCACCAGGGAACCTGGAGGTGGCTTCTAAAGTTGCGTGGGTGACAGAACAGCGGCCAAAGTGACAGAGTTCGCCGTAGGCGAATAAGGAGCCATCCAATCCTTCTGCTGACTTCAGTCAGCTCGCCCTGCCGGGGCATTTCCGCTTCTCCAGGGCTTTAGGGTGCCAAGTCCAAGTTAGTACTTACTTATCGATCCTCACAAGCAAAGCTTAAGAGTTCGCGGCAGGGCTTTCTGAGTGAAGATATCTGGCTTCTCTTCGCCTGGTTGGCCCATGGTTTTGTGGTCTTGAGCTTCACCGTCATGGTCTGTTGTTACATGAAAAGAATTTATCCACTTAGAGAAAGAGAAGGGTATGTTGCTCCCACCTGAACCACGATCTCAAACCTAGAAATAGAATCCAGGCCGTGGCAATCGAGTTTCCTTTGAGTATTCGTGGTATATTGTTTTACCATAGAAATAGCTTTTGATACCATTTACTTAAATGTGCCTTTTCGTAGTAATCACCTGTAGCTTTTATGCCGGTTTGTTATCCTTTCTGGCCCTTTCAACTTCTGAATTTATATATAGATATCCTTACTGTTTTCAGACATGGTAAAACTTGGAAGCATAAGAACGGAAAGTGAAGTGTCAAAAAATGTGTAATCATCAGTGTTTGTACACAATTAAAATTTCAGTCAGTTTGATGGTTATGAGTTTTTATGTTTTTATTGTTACTGAAGAGTCACACTGTTATATATTTCATTTTAAATAATGGGAAAGTGGTGGAATTGAAGTGGGATAAGGTAAATTACTGAAATATTTCTTTTTTGAGTATGTGTATTGCTGGAATTTTTGACAGTGGATTAAAAATTGAAGTTATATGATGAATTTACTTCCTATAATAAGCTGTTGCCACAAAATCTGCTGGCCAAGGAATTCTTGATTAGTTTTGAATCAGAGATGGAGATGTGAAATTATATCCAAGAAAATAATTTTCTTTATCTCAAGCTAAAAGTGAAGAGCAAATCGTTGGTTTCATGTTCTAAACTATGTTATTCTCTGCCATCTCATGGCAACCCCATGTGTTGCTCTATAGGGTTTTCTTGGTTGTACTCTTCTTGGATGTAGATCGTTAAGCCTTTCTTCTGAGGTACCAGTGGGTAGGTTCAAACCACCAATCTTTAGGTGAACAGATGTATGCAAACCATTTACACCAACAAAACTGCCTTTTATTCGCCACAAAACCAAAACCCAAACTCAATGCCATTCCAACTCATAGCGACCCCCATTGGGTTTGCCAGGTGGTAAATCTTTAGGGAAGAAGGTTGCCCCATACTTCCATGGAGCTGCTGGTGGTTTTGAGCCGCCAACTTCCTGGTTAGCAGTCAAAGCCTGAGGCACCATGCCTCTAGGAAAAGAAAAGAAAGAAAGAAACTCACTGCCATGGAGTTGGTTCCCATGGACAGACATTGGGCTTCAGAGGTAGTAAATCTTTATGGAAGTAGATTGGCCAGGAGCACCCTTAAGTATTAAATTAGAAAATGTCTTGAATTTTCAGAGAGAGAAGTTCTAAACCTGCCCACTGACAGCCTTTGTGACCGTAAAGAAGTTTGGGCCTTTTTCTTCATCCTTTAAATAAAGTGTTGTTGTTATGTGCTGTCTAGTCGAACCCGACTCATAGTGACCCCTCCTTGGGTGTCTGAGGCAGTTTCACTGCCCAACCTTCCTTCCGAGGTGGCTGGTGGGTTTGAACCACCAGCCTTCTGGTTAGCAGTCAAGTGCCTTTAGGCACTACCCTACCAGTTGTTGTTATGTGCCCTTGAGTCGGACCAATTCATGGTGACCCCTCCTAGGGTTTCCCAGTCAGTATCACTACAGAAGTAGATTGTCCCACGCCTTCCCAGGAGTGGCTGGTGGGTTTGAACCGCCAGCCTGCTGGTTAGCAGTCTAAAGCCTTAGGCACTGTGCCACCAGAGCTTATCATTAATCATTAGGGAAATCAAAACCATAGTGAGATACTACCACACAGCACAAAATCAAAAAAAAAAAAAAAACTACTGCGATCAATTCTGACTCATAGAGAACCCTACTGGGTTTCCAAGGCTGTAAATCTTTACAGAAGTGGATTGCCTCTTCTTCCTCCCACAGAGCAATTGGTGAGTTTGAACCACCAACCTTCTGGTTACCAGCCAAATATCTTACCCACCGTGGCACCAGAGCTCCTTCCTCACACCACTAGTATGGCTGTTATTTAAAAAATGGACAAGAACAAGTGTTGACAAGAATGTGGAGAAATTGGAAAACTCACCCATTGCTTGTGGGAATGTAAAGTGTCAGCTGATGAAAATGTAAAATGGTGCAGCCACTGAGGAAAATTTTGGTGGTTCAGCAAAAAGTGAAATGTAGAATTACAATATGATCCAGCAATTGCACTCCTAGATATATACCAATAAGACTTGAAAGCAGAAACTCAGGCATTTGTATATTACAAACACAATGATCATTGCAGCATTATTCATAATATCCAAAAGGTAAAACAACCCAACTATACATTAACTGATGAATGGATAAACAAAATGTTGTATATACATACAGTGAATTTTTATTCAGCAATAAAGAGAAATGAGGCTCTGATGCATGCTACCATATGGATGAACCTTGAAAACATTATGAAAAGTGAAATAAGCCATACACAAAAGGACAAATATTGTTTGACCCTACTTGCTTGAAAATTTTTTAATAGGCAAATGCATAGAGCCAAAGTAACGTTAACCAGGAACTCTAGGACCTCTTGTGGCATGGTGCCTAAGACACCCAACTGCTAACCAGAAGGTTGGCAGTTCAAACCCACCAGCCACTCCTCAAAAGAAAGATTGGGCAATCTACTTCCGTAGAGATACTGCCTCAGAAACCCAAGTCAGATCTGACTCAACAGCAGTGAGTTTGGTTTGAGTTTGGAGGTAATAGGAATTATTACTCTAAATAATAATCTAAAACTAAACTTGTTGCCATCAAGTTGATTGTGACTTACAGTAATGCCTCCAGATGGAGTACAACTGCCCCCATAAGGTTGCCAAGGCTGTAATCTTTATAGGGGAGCTCTGGTTGCATAGTGCCTAAGACATCTGACTGCTAACCAGAAGGCTGGTGGTTCAAATCCACCAGCCACTCCTTGGAAGGAATATTGGGCAATCTACATCCACAGTGATACAGCCTCGGAAACCCAAGGAGGGGTCACTATGAGTCATATCCGACTTAACGGCAGAACCACCACCACACACCAATTGCTTTATGGAAGCAGGTTGCTACATTTTTTCCCATGAACCCCGGCTGGTGGATTTAACCTGCTGACCCTTCTGTTAGCAGCCAAGTGATTAACCACAGCATTACCAGGGCTCCTTAATAGTAATAATGTTGTTGTTGTTGTTAGGTGCCATTGAGTCATCTCCAACTCATAGCTACCCTATGCACAGCAGAACGAAACACTGCCCAGTCTCATGCCAGCTCCATGATCCTTGCTATAATGGGCCTATACTTGCAGCCACTGTGTCAATCCATTTTGTTCAGGTCCTTCCCCTCTTTCATCGACCCTCCACCCTACCAAGCATGATACCCTTCTCCATGAAATGGTTCCTTTTTACAACATGACCAAAGTAGGTGAGACAAAGTGTGGCCGTTCTTGCTTCCAAGGAGAGTTCCAGCTGCACTTCTTCCAGGACAGATTTGTTAGTTCTTTTAGCAGTCCATGGTACTTTCAGCATTCTTCACTACCACAACTCAAAAGCACCAACTCTTCTTTGGTCTTCCTTATTCATTGTCCAGCTCTCACATGCATATGAGGCAATTGAAAATACCATAGCTTGTGTCAGGCTCACCTTAGTCCGCAAGGAGACATCTTTGCTCTTCAGCACTTGAAAGAGGTCTTTTGGAGCTGATTTGCCCAGTGCTGTATGTAGTGCCTAGGAGCTCTGATGACATAGTGCCTAAGGCATTTGACTGCTAAGCAGAAGGCTGATGGTTCAAACCCACCAGCTACTCCTTGGAAAGAAGGTTGGGCAATCTGCTTCTGTAGTGATATCGCCTCGGAAACCCAAGGAGGGGTCACTATAAGCTGGGTCCACTCCACAGCAGTGAGTTTGGGATTTTTGGTATAGGTAGTGCCTAAGGCATTTGACTGATAACCAAAAGGCTGGTGGTTCAAACCCACCAGCCACTCCTCAGAAGGAAGATTAGGCAGTCTATTTCTGTAGAGATACTGCCTCGGAAACCCATGGAGTGGCAGCTATGAGTTGAATCAACTCGATGGCAGTGAGTTTGGTTTTGGTTTTATACATCATCTGATGTCCTGACTGCTGCTTCCATTAGTGTTGATTATAGAACCAAGTTTGACAACTTCAGTCTTTTCTCCATTCATCGTGATAGTGCTTATTGGTCCAGTTATGAGGATTTTTGTTTTCTTTATATTGAGGTGTTAATTCATACTGCAGACTGTAGTCTTCAGTCTTCATCAGTAAGTGCTTCAAATCATCCTCACTTTCAGCAAGCAAAGTTGTGTCATCAGCGTATCACAGGTTGTTAATGAGTCTTCCTCCATTCCTGATGCCACGTTCTTCTTCATATAGTCCATCTTCTCATATTATTTACTCAGCATACTGATTTAATAAGTATGGTAAAAGGATACAACCCTGACACACTCTCTTCTTGATTTTTAAACCATGCAGTGTCCCCTTGTTTTGTTCAGACGACAGCCTCCTGGTCTATGTACAGGTTCCTCATGAGTACAATTCAGTGTTCTGGAATCTCCATTCTTCTCAATATTACCCATAATTTGTTATGATCCACACAATTGAATGCTTTTGCATAGCCAATAAAACACAAGTAAACATCTTTCTGGTTATTCTTTGTTTTGAGCCAAGATTCATCTGACATCAGCAATAATATACCTTGTTCCACGTCCTCTTCTGAATCCAGCTTGCATTTCTAGAAGTACTCTGTCAAGATACTACTGCAACTGTTTTTGAATTATCTTCAGTAAGATTTTACTTGCATGTGACATTAATGATATGGTTCGATAATTTCCACATTCTGTAGGATCACCTTTCTTTGGAATGGGTACAAATATGGATCCCTTCCAGTCAGTTGGCCAGGTAGCTGTCTTCTAAATCTCCAGGCATAGCCAGGTGAGTGCCTCTAGCATGGCATCTGTGTGTTGAAACATCTCAATGGATATTCCATCAGTTCCTGGAGCCTTGTTTTTCACTTCCTTCAATGCAGCTTCAACTTCTTCCTTCACTACCATTGGTTCTTGATCATATGCCACCTCCTG